ATCATTCAGTCTTTCCAGAATAGCCCGTATCACCATTCTCATAAAAAAATTATTTTTAATTTATTATTTATTATTCTCTATTATTTTCTCTATTAATCTCAATATGTCTCGTAGAGGATCTTCTTCCAAATCGAAGGCTTTAATGCCATCATCATCACCATATATTCCGATTATGGAAGAAGAAGATGATATTCCTCAACATGAGAACTATGAAGGGGGGGATTTTCGCAATTTTGAATCTCTATTGAGCGAAAATGAGGAAGAAGTTGAGGAGATTCAACCGACTCCGGCACGACGGGGGCGGGGCAATCGAGCTTCGAATACAACCGCTTCAGGGCAGCCTTCTACTCGAGAATCAAGTTCTATCAACGATAACAAACGACTTCGTGGACTCTTCAAAAAAGGGTCATTGCATATAGAATTTTTTCCGAAAAAAATCATACCGCACAAAATATTTGCCATATACTTCATGTCATTTTAGGAGAGTATAATTTAATTGATAAAGTGTTTTCAATTTCGTTTGATAATGCTAGTGCTAATACCGCTAGTATAAAATTTTTGAGAAAGATAACTAGACCGACATTTAATGTTAAATTTGTGCATGTTAGATGTATTTGTCATGTTTTAAACTTATGTGTTCAAGATGGTTTGAAAACGCTTGAAAATCACCTTTTACCAATTCGAGAGATGATAAGGTATTTATGGAGAAATCCACCCATTCAAAAAAAATGGTGTTTGTTTTGTAAAGCAAATGGAAAACGTCCGAAAAAAATTTCAAAGGATGTCCCTACTCTTTGGAATTCGACTTATGAATTGTTACTACAAGCTTATGATTACAAAGATATGTTATGCGCTTTTTTTAATGATATTGGTCATTCTTCTTTCACACTTATGCCTAGCCAATGGTATTGTTGCAAAAAGATTTATAACCTTTTACAAGTTTTTAATGCATCTACCAAGGAACTATCGGGTGTTTATTATCCAACTTCGCATTTAGTGCTTTTGCATTTTGTTAATGTTGCTAGTGCATTTAAAGAATCATCGGATATTTTTGAATTGTATGATACGGTTAAAGCTATGCAAACTAAATGGGAGAAATATTATTTCAAAATTCCCAAACTTTATTTAGTTGCCCTTATTTTAGATCCTAGATGTAGAATTGAATTTGTTGAAACATTATTGACTATGTATTATGGAGCATTGCGTCCGAAACCGGAACATGTTGAGAACAATGTTACTTTGGTTGCAAATGCCCTTCTCAAGGGTAAGCTTTCTTTGGTTGCATTATATGTCGAATACAACGCAAAATACGGAAGTACACTTCCGGATACTTCTATTTCTTCTTCTACTTCTTTTTCGAATTGTTCTTTAGCACAACGGTTATTAATGGAGCGCACGAAGCGCCCAAGGGTTTCCAACTCAAGTTCCAATCCGGAACTTGATATGTATTTAACTTGTTCTTTTGAGTATGATGTAGATCCCGCTAACTTGAATTTACTACAATGGTGGAAGTCCAAAATTACCAAATTCCCAATATTGGCACTTATTGCTAGAGATGTTCTATCTTCTCCCGTTAGTACCGTTGCCGTCGAACAAGCCTTTAGTATGGGTGGCAACATCTTGGATTTAAAGAGATCGTCATTACATGGGGATAATTTGGAAGCACAAGTACTTTTGGACGATTGGACAAGGGCCGAATATCGTATACAAGGAGAGGAAGAGTGGAATGATAATGACGAATTCGTAGACACCGACGCGTCCGATGCCGATAGGCGATAGGTAAGTAAGGTAAGTAAGAACTACGTGGCTTTGATTCCTTTTGTTAAAAAAGGATACGTAGGCAACTTAATCTATAAAATTTAAAGTTTAACTTTAAACTTTAAAATTTAAAAATTAAGTGCAAGCCCTTTTAGTTTCTTTCCTTTTCTTGTTTTTTTAATTTTTGAAGGAGAAAAATATTTTAGAGAAAAATTGAATTTGTGTAAGTCTGTAAGTCTGTAAATAAGTCTGAAAAATTGAAGAGCATAAGTCTGTAAGTTTGTAAATAATTTTAGAGAATTTGTGTATACATTTTATATTTTAATATAAGTATAATTATTCTTAAGTAATTTTAAAATTATAAAAAAAATTAGAAAAAAAAAAAAAAAAAGTTATATCAGAACCGGACGGTTCTACGGTTCTAACCGGGAACCGAACCGGAACCAAACCGGAACCGGTTTGGAACCGAACCGTTTGGAACCGGATTTTTTCGGTTCGGTTCCGGTTCCTCCAAAATCGGAACCGGAACCGGCGATTTGGAACCGGAACCGGAACCGAACCGAACCGTGGTCAGGTCTAGCGCCGACAAGGTTGTCGCGATGTAAGTTAATTGAGTCGTCGGTTTTGTCCCGCGACGATGTAGTAGGGAATTATCTCCTCGTGGGAGTTGTCTTGTCGCGGGGTAATAGTGTTGATCGAGTTATCTCCTCGTGGGAGTTGTCTCGCGATAATGTAGTAGCACGGATCAAGTAATCTCCTCATGGGAGTTGTCTCTGGGGTAATCGAGTTGATCGAGTTACGTCCTCGTGGAAGTTGTCTCACGATAATGTAGTAGCACGGAGCTAGTATTCTCCTCGTGGGAGTTGTTATTTTTCGACATTGTCAATGTTTTGACGCGTTGCTTATATGTGTTTACATATAGCCTTGTGCGTGATGTACTTGAGGAGGGGATCAGACTCTCAAGATTTTTTTTTATGGGGGTCGTGCCCCTTGTTAGACCTCGTGGGTCTTAAGTATGCTTGGACCGTGGCCACGTTTTAATGAATGACCCATCGAAAACAAGTAGATAAATTTGAGTAATCAAGCTGGCCAGGCTATATAGATTCTCATAATGTCTCTAAGTGCTTCAAGGGTTGTAATCGTGCTAACTTGAGCTTGTGATTATATAGTGAATTTCGGGCGAGTTGTCTCCTCATGGGAGTTGTCTCGCGGTGAGTAATATTTATCGAGTGAGGTGGTTGCACGTAGGAGTTGTCTTGCAACGAATTTGTAGTGTCGAGCGAGTTGGCTCCTCGTGGGAGTTGTCTCGCTGTGGTTTCGTAGACCCGAGGGAGTTGGCTCCGTGGGAGTTGCCTCGCAACGGGTTATAGGACGGGGCGAGTGGTCTCCTCGTGGGAGTTGTCTCGCTGTGGTGTTGAGATCCGAGGGAGTTGGCTCCTCGTGGGAGTTGCCTCGCAACGGGTTGTAGGATTGAGCGAGTGGACTCCTCGTGGGAGTTATCTCGCTGTAGTTTTGAGACTAGAGGGGGTTAGCTCCTCGTGGGAGTTGTCCCGCAACGGGCTATAGGACTGAGCGAATGGTCTCCTTGTGGGAGTTATCTCGCTGTGGTTTTGAGACCCGAGGGGGTTGGCTCCTCGTGGGAGTTTCTTTGTAAGGGGTTGTAGGACCGAGCGAGTTGTCTCCTCGTGGGAGTTGTCTCGCTGCGGGTTGTATTATTGCGCGAGTTGGCTCCTCGTGGGAGTTGTCTCGCAAGGGAGTTGTAGGAGCATCGGATGGCGCGCGACTGAGGAGCGCGCGGACTGAGGTTGCTTTGAGCGAATTGTCTCCTCGTGGGAGTTATCTCGAAACGGGTTGTATGGCCGAGCGAGTTGTCTCCTCGTGGGAGTTGTCTCGCTGCGAGTTGCAGTACCGAGCGAGTTGGCTCCTCGTGGGAGTTGTCTCGCTGCGAATTGTGGGACGGAGCGAGTGGTCTCCTCGTGGGAGTTATCTCGCTGTGGTTATGAGACCCGAGGGAGTTGGCTCCTCGTGGGATTTATCTCGCTGAGAGTTCGTAGTACCGAGCGAGTTGGCTCCTCGTGGGAGTTGTCTCGCTGCGGGTTCGTAGTACCGAACGAGTTGGCTCCTCGTGGGAGTTGCCTCGCTGCGGGTCGTAGGATGGAGCGAGTGGTCTCCTCGTGGGAGTTATCTCGCTGTGGTTATGAGACCCGAGGGAGTTGGCTCCTCGTGGGAGTTACCTTGTAACGGGTTATAGGACCGAGCGAGTGGTCTCCTCGTGGGAGTTATCTCGCTATGATTTCGTAGACCCGAGGGAGTTCTCTCCGCGTGGGAGTTATCTCGCCGTGGGTAGTAATTCCGAGGTAGTTGGCTCCTCGTGGTAGTTTTCTCGCTGCGGGTGGTAGTACTGAGCGAGTTGGCTCCTCGTGGGAGTTGTCTCGCAAGCCCCCCACTCTCGAGACGATGTGGGAGCCACGTCGAAAAGGGTACCGGATCGTGTTGAGAGTAGATCGGTGTTGTAGTGTTTCTTTATTCGTTGGCATGGCGTGGAGAAATAATTTATTTATTTATTTTACATTTGATAGCGAACTCAATTTCGTAGGTGCGTTAAAGAGCTCGCGCAATTTGGTGGAGCGCGTTGAAACTCTCTCGCGATTTGGTGAAGCGAGGTGAAATCTACGCGCAATTTGGTGGAGAGTAGCAAAAGTTGTGCCCAATTAGGTGGGAGCGCTCTGTCACGGCCCGCTAGTTTTGACCCAACCCCTTGCCGATTTCCCTTGGGTTGGGGAGGTTAAAGAGTCCAAGAATTAGCCCAAGTAGGGTTAGGCCCAAGTTGGCCCAATTGTATAGTGGTAGGTAGAGCCATTTTTGGTAGGTAGAGGTAGGTGGTGGTAGGTAGAGACAATCAAGGGATTGTTCCACTCCCATCCGTTAGATCATATCGATCTCCACCGTCCATTGAGGGGGTGGTCTTGTATAAATAGAGGTAGGGTCCTCATTTGTAATCATCCAACACATATTCAAGAAATCCAACTATAAAGCACTCTTCTACCAACTCTCTTGTCTTCTACTTTCTTCCTTCGTTTCCATCACTTAAGTATTCGCAACACAATTCGGGAGAGGCTGACTTAGCTATCGCGAGGGGCGAGAAGGAGCTAAGGCCGCACGGTTCTTTGTTAAGGGAACAAGTCCGTGACAAGTGGTATCAGAGCCCGGCTAAGGGCTTTGTGTTGATCGAATTCTCAACGATGGCGAACGTTGAAGATATCTCGTGCGTGACCGAGGGACGTGGCAGGGAGGCCCACGTAAACAACAAGAAGAAGAGGGACCACAGCAAGGCTCGTGGGGAGAGTACGGTGAATGAGGTCGTGCTAGCGGAGCTTAGCGAACGATTCGAGAAGCTCGAGCACGATACGGAGGTGTTGGAGAATCACGTCGCCGAGCAACTCGACTTGTTTAGGGACAATGAGACGTTGCGGGAGGAACGGTTGGATCGATTTGAGGCTATCATCCAATCCCTCCAAGACAGCATCGAGGGGATGCGCGGCGACTTGGCCTTGTGCAAAAAGGCAGCGGCTAACGGTAGCGTTGGTGCTACTTCGAGTCCAAGGGTGGACTGCCCGAAGCCAACGGGATTCAACGGCGTAAGGGACGCCAAGGAAGTCGAGAACTTCCTATGGAGGATGGAGCAATACTTCGAGGGTATCGGTCTAGTCGACGAGACGACTAAGGTAAGAACTTCTTCCCTTTACCTTTCCGATACGGCAATGTTGTGGTGGCGTAGAAAGCACGCCGATATCGAGAAAGGCATTTGCCGAATCGATACTTGGGAAGAGTTCAAGAGGGAACTCAAGCGACACTTCTACCCGGAGAACGTCGTCTATGAGGCTCGAAGGAAGTTGAGGGAACTCAAGCAACGAAGTTCAATCCGCGAGTACGTGACGGAGTTCACCATCCTCACCCTTCAAATTCCCAACCTCTCTGAGGAGGACCTTCTTTTCCACTTCACCGATGGATTACAAGGCTGGGCCAAGCAAGAACTCCACCGACGAGACATCAAATCCGTCGATGAAGCTATTGCCGCCGCCGAGTCCTTAACCGAGTATCAACCGAGAGAGCCGTTGCGAAAAGAGAAGTGGAACCCGACTAAAGGCGGAGAAGAGAGACGGGACAATCATAGTCGGGACTATCGAGACAACCGAGACCCAAGGCGAGCGTCAACCTCGAGGGGAGGAGACAAGCCATCCTCACGACAACAACTTGAAGAGAAGAAGAAGTCGTTTGTGCCTAAGGGAGGATGCTTCGTGTGCAAGGGGCCGCACGCGATGAGTCAATGTCCCAAGATGGGGTCATTGTCGTCACTCTTACAACAAGAGGCCGAACAAGGCACAAACGAGGAGCTAGGCAACATGGGATCGCTCCAACTTCTGAACGCCTTGAAGGCTAACCCGATGCCGGCAACATCAAGCAAGGGGCTGATGTACGTGGAGGCCCGCATCAACGGTACCCCAGCAAAGGTGATGGTAGACACGGGAGCGACTCACAACTTTATCACCGAGGACGAGGCCAAGAGGGTTGGCCTACGGTGGACCAGACGAGACGGTTGGCTCAAGGCCGTTAACGCTAAGGCACAACCGCTCAACGGTGTAGCACGAGACGCGGAGCTGCACTTAGGCACTTGGAAGGGCCAAGTGGACTTTTCGGTAGCACCAATGGATGACTTCAAGGTGGTGCTAGGCATGGATTTCTTCCGCAAGGTAATGGCTATCCCGATGCCTTGTTTCAATTCGGTTTGCATCTTAGAGAAGGGGACACCTTGCATGGTACCGGCCATCAACGGCACCACAAAGGAAGAAAAGACACCACCGAGGCAACTGTCGGCCATGCAAGTTGCCAAGGGAGTTCGACGGGGCGAGCCAACATTTATAGCCACTTTAAAGGAGGACAACCCACCCGTCGACAAAGCGGAGGACGTGCCACCGATCATCCAAACCGTCTTGGAGGCCAACCAAGACGTGATGCCACCGAATTTGCCCAACAAGCTTCCACCTAGGAGGGAGGTGGATCATGCCATCGAGTTGGAGCCGGGAGCCAAGCCACCCGCCATGGCTCCCTACCGCATGTCACCGCCGGAGCTTGAGGAGCTCCGAAAACAACTTAACGAGTTGGTCGAGACGGGGAAGATCCGACCATCGAAGGCACCTTACGGCACACCGGTCTTATTCCAAAAGAAGCACGATGGTTCTTTGAGGATGTGCGTGGACTACCGGGCGCTAAACAAGGTAACCATTAAGAATAAGTACCCTATTCCCTTGATAGTCGATTTGTTCGATAGGCTTGGTAAAGCCAAGATATACACGAAGATGGATTTGCAAAAGGGTTATTACCAAGTTCGCATTGCCGAAGGGGACGAGCCAAAGACAACGTGCATCACTCGATACGGTTCTTACGAGTGGCTTGTCATGCCGTTCGGGTTAACCAATGCCCCGGCAACATTTTGCACTCTCATGAACAAGATTTTCCATCCATACTTAGATCGGTTCGTGGTGGTCTACTTGGACGACATCGTCGTTTATAGCAATACCATGGAGGAGCATGTCAACCACCTTCGCACTGTCTTCCAAGTACTTCGGGAAAACGAGTTGTTCGTGAAGAAAGAGAAGTGCGAGTTTGCCAAGGAGGAGGTCCAATTCTTGGGGCATATCATCGGGCACGGGCGACTCCAAATGGATGGAGCGAAGATCAAGGCTATCACCGAGTGGGAACCGCCGACTAAGGTAACCGAGTTACGATCCTTTCTTGGTCTTATCAATTATTACCGACGGTTCATAAAAGGGTACTCGGCACGAGCGGCGCCACTAACCGACTTACTCAAGAAGAACAAGACGTGGGAGTGGCCCGACTCATGCCAACGGACGTTCGAGGACTTAAAGGCAGCGGTGAGCCAAGAGCCGGTCCTCGCCTTACCGGACTTTGGGAAGTCGTTCGAGTTGCACACGGACGCTTCCGACTTTGCAATTGGAGGGGTCTTGATGCAAGAGGGGCATCCGATCGCCTTCGAGAGCCGAAAGCTCAACGAGACGGAACGGCGCTACACGGTCCAAGAGAAGGAGATGACCGCCATCATCCATTGCCTTCGAGTATGGCGGCACTATCTATTAGGCGCACCGTTCGTGGTCAAGACCGACAACATTGCCACGAGTTACTTCCAAACGCAAAAGAAGCTCTCGCCAAAGCAAGCACGGTGGCAAGACTTTCTAGCGGAGTTCGACTACGTTTTGGAGTACAAACCGGGGAAGGCAAACGTTGTGGCCGATGCTTTGAGTAGAAAGGCCGAACTCGCAGCGATTAGCTCGACAAGGGGGAACTTGGCCGACATGATCCGAGAAGGGCTCGAACATGATCCAATGGCCAAGGAGCTAATTCGACTCGTCAATGAGGGCAATTTCAAGATCGTCCGCACTTGTTCGAGGCAACGAGGACGTCGCCGGATTAGGCGGGGGAGGATGTCACGGCCCGCTAGTTTTGACCCAACCCCTTGCCGATTTCCCTTGGGTTGGGGAGGTTAAAGAGTCCAAGAATTAGCCCAAGTAGGGTTAGGCCCAAGTTGGCCCAATTGTATAGTGGTAGGTAGAGCCATTTTTGGTAGGTAGAGGTAGGTGGTGGTAGGTAGAGACAATCAAGGGATTGTTCCACTCCCATCCGTTAGATCATATCGATCTCCACCGTCCATTGAGGAGGTGGTCTTGTATAAATAGAGGTAGGGTCCTCATTTGTAATCATCCAACACATATTCAAGAAATCCAACTATAAAGCACTCTTCTACCAACTCTCTTGTCTTCTACTTTCTTCCTTCGTTTCCATCACTTAAGTATTCGCAACACAATTCGGGAGAGGCTGACTTAGCTATCGCGAGGGGCGAGAAGGAGCTAAGGCCGCACGGTTCTTTGTTAAGGGAACAAGTCCGTGACAGCGCGCTCCAAGGTGGCCTTCGGAGGCGCGCGCGCGTGCATGGGAAGGCGCGCGCGTGTGAGAGAATTTTTTTTTTTTTTTTTCTCTTTTGCTGCTGGCGCGCGTGCAGTGCACGCGCACGCGTCTGGCGCGTGAAGGGCACGCGCGCGTGCTGTGCACGCGCGCCTCCTGCCTCTTTTTTTTTTGTTGCTGCTTGCACGCGTGCAGTGCACGCGCGCCTCCTTTCCTTTTTTTTTTTTTTTTTTTTTTTTTTAAATGGAGCCGCGCGCGCGGCTTGGCTCGGCTCGCGCGCGCGGCTCGGCTGCTTTCTCCCTTTTTTATTTTTTATTCTCTTTTTTCTTCTTCTTCTTCTTTCTTCTTCGTTCTTCTTTCTTTCTTCATCTAATTCTCTTTTCTTCTATTTTTCTTGTTCTTGTATTTTTTCTTCTTCTTTCTTCATCTTCTCTTTTCTTCTATTTTTCTTTCTTCTCATCTTCTTATTTTTTCTTCTTCTTTGATTTTTTTTTTTTTCTTTTTTCTTCATCTTCTTCTTTTTTCTTCTTCTTTCTTGTCTTCTTCTGGGGTCTCGCGTGCGCGATTTTACCCCTTTTTTTTTTTTTTTTTTTTTTTGGTTGATATTCACCCCTTGGGGATGTTATATTTTTTGAGTAGGGAGATTATCCTCGTTCCTTGAGATGGGATGTGCACCCCCTTGGGGATGTTATATTTTTTGAGTAGGGAGATTATCCTCGTTCCTTGAGATGGGATGTGTACCCCCTTGGGGATGTTCTATTTTTTGAGTAGGGAGATTATCCTCATTCCTTGAGATGGGATGTGTACCCCCTTGGGGTTGAAAGGTAAGTGGATGTACCACCCTTGAGATGAGATGCCCAACTTTAGGATGGGATAGCCCCCCATTTAGGATGAGGCGATCACGAACCACTGGGGTGAGATGCCCGACCTTGGCGATATATGGTGCCACTGATTCAGTGGCAGCACGAGTTGAATCTTCCGTGATCATACGCTGAAGGTCTTCTTCGGTTATCTGAACTGTTCGAGAAGTAAGTAGAAATTGATCATGTTGAGGACCCAGTGGGGCCTCACGAGGAGGAGCGTTGGCTCCTGCTATGACGATGTATGGTGCCACTGCTTCAGTGGTAGCACAAGTTGAAGCTTCCGCGATTATACGCTGAAGGTCCTTATCGGTTATCTGAACCGTTAGAGGAGCAAGTAGAAGTTGATCTTGTTGAAGGTTCGGCGATCATATGCTGAAGGTCCTCTTCGGTTATCTGAACCGTTCGAGGGGGCGGAAGTAGACCTCCAGGGAGTCGATGACCCATGGCGAATGAAATGTTTTGGGGGCGATGTAAACCCCCAGGGAGTCGATGGCGGTGGTGCCACATGTGGCTCCACATGTGGAGCAGGTGCTGGTATCGCGTTGGGAGCATTTGCTCCCGTCGTGGCGATATATTGGATCACTGCCTCTGTGGCAGCGCGAGTTGAAGCTTCTGCTCTCATGCGTTGAAGCGCATCCTCGGTTATTTGAACAATTCGAGGAGCAGGGAGTGATGGATCGGCGAGTGGTGGGTCCCGAGGGGGGATCACCTGAACCTCGCGAGGCGGATCCATGGGATGTGGAGGAGGTGGCAAGCCAGAGCCTCCACGAGGTGGGAGGTCGTTAGCTGTGTCATTTTCTCTCCGAGCAGACGCCTCAGGAGGATCTTGTTGGCTACGTGATCTGGTTTGCATCGTTCCCACAGACGGCGCCAAAATGATGATGCTAATATATAGCTCACCTAGGGTGGTGTAGAAAACGAACTGGGAGAGCAAAGCAGATCAGTAGCTTGACAACTTGATGATACTGAGGTACCTGCGATCATAGAACACATGAACTAAGCCGGGGGTTGATCCGGCGGAAACCCCTCCGACGCTCAAGTCAGACGTGCTGATAGTAGAAATAGTCCAGAGACTACGTATTGTAGTCTTGCTCAGTTAATAGGACGTACCTCAATAAAATGAGTAAAACCTCTATTTATATGTCATTTATTGGGTTGGGTTTGTTTTGTTGGGCCCAAGCCTTACTTGAAGGTGTTTGGGCCTCGGTGATATTAGTATTCGATATTGGGCTCGTAGCCCAGTAGGTAAAGAAATCGTAGGCCCATTGGGTTGGCCCAATTAGGCATATCAGGCTGCAAATAAGCCAATTTCAGTAAAAGTCCCGCTTCAATTAGCATTTCAGTTCTTTGTATTACTCATTTTTTCTGTTTCTTTGTATTACTCATTTTCTTTTTCTTTTTTGTTCGATTAATTTTTTGATTTTTTTTCACTGTCTCATTCTTTCACTTTTTAATTAGTTTTTTTTTTAATTTAAATTATGGAATGTGTTGTTTATGTACATTTGTATTTTTGGTCTTCACTATTTAATATTTATTGCTGGATAATTAGTTGAATTGAATATTTAGGTTGATTTTTAATAATTAGTAGGCTTTTTTAATTTATTTTTACAATATTTTTATATTATATTATCAACATTTTTTTAAATACTTTTTATAATTTATAAGTATTATGATGATGCTAATTACTTAGATCACTTGGCCGGGTAGTGTAGAAAACGAACTGGGAGAGCAAAGCGGATCAGTAGCTTGACAACTTGATAATCCTGAGGTACCTGCGATCATAGAACACGTGAACTAGGTCGGGGGTTGATCCGGCGGAAACCCCTCCAACGCTCAAGTCAGACTTGCTGATCATAAAAAGAAATAAAAAATAATAAAAGAGTAGAAATCCTTTTATTAAAAAATTAGAAAAATAATTTTTTTTTAAACAAAAAAACAATTTTAGCACATAAAAATGAATTATATATGTATTAAAAAAATAAAAATTTGGGCCCCAGTGAAATTGGGCCCTGGGCGTGGGCCCTGCTCGCCCCACCCCAGGCATATATATATATATATATATATATATATATATATATATATATATATATATATATATATATATATATTTCACATTTCAAATACATAATAAAAATAAAAAATAAAATATTAAAGACAAAAAAATTGCAATAGAAAAATTAGAAACTAGGGCAATGTAATTTGATAGTTATTTTCATTTTATTTTGTAGACTATATGTTTTGAAAAAATAATTTAAGAATGAAAATAATGTTTATTTATAATTTAATACTATAAAATAAAATGTATCATTTATTATACTTTTAGTAAAACAAATTATTTCACTGTAGCAGTCAAAAGTAAGGTTGTAAAAAACGGTAATCGGGTCCGAGTCGGTCAGGCACCGATTTACGATTAATCGGTGCGGCGGTGATTAACCGGTAATAAATCGGAAATAAATCGGTTTTTAAAATTTAATATAATATATATCTAGATATTATTTATAAATACTCGAAACATATATAAAAAGATATTTAAACATAGTTATATCTCTGATGATGCTAAAATGTAGCTCACCTAGGGTGGTGTAGAAAACGAACTGGGAGAGCAAAGCAGATCAGTAGCTTGACAACTTGATGATCCTGAGGTACCTGCGATCATAGAACACATGAACTAAGCCGGGGGTAGATCCGGCGGAAACCCCTCCGACGCTCAAGTCAGACGTGCTGGTCATAGAAATAGTCCAGAGAATACGTATTATAGTATTGCTCAGTTAATAGGACGTACCTTAAGGAATGAGTTCAAATGTGTATTTATAGCTTAGTTGAGATTGTTGGGCCCAAACCTTACTTGAAGGTGATTGGACTTCGATGATAGTGGTCTTCGATATTGGGCTCGTGGCCCAATAGGTAAGTAATTTGTAGGCCCATTGGGTTGGCTCAATTGGTAAGTAAACTCGCCCGGTCCAACACTTATTATTTTCTTTTTTTAAAAGACCGGTCTAACACTATTAATTTTTTATTTTTTTTCACAATGGTGGTTAACATAATTGATTTTAGAAGTGCTTACATTTCATAATAGGGGTTGTTGGCACGAGATTTCTATTTGTGAAGATTGAAGAAATCCGCCATACGTGGAAATTAAAGATTGGCAAAGATTTGTTTTCCATGTTTATTTTGGAAGTAATTAGAGTCCTATTTTTGTAATATTGTTATTAGGACTTAGATTTATTTCCATGTATTATATTCTAGTTAGGTATCTTTTGTACTTATCTAGAATAGAAGTAGAAATCGACTAGGATTCTATTACCTAGTTAATCGATTTCTTAGGGCCCAAGTTAGGTTTAGGGTGGTGGATTTCGTGCCTATATAAGGCCCTCAACCTCATATGAGTCCGATGGAGCTTTAATCGAAAATATCCCTGCATAAAGGCTTTGAAGGGTGCAGCCCGTGCTGCAGCCCTGTCTGCACGGCAGGTGTGGCAACAGAACAAGTTTCTTCTACCAGGCCATAAAGAAGATCGGCGTTTCGGGAGAAGTGCTTAAAAGATCTCGGGAGAGGTCGATCCGCCGTTTGAAGGAAGTTCAACATTGGAGGAAGTCCAAGAGTGCGGAGGAGGAATTGCTTTGATTATCAACAAGTTCGAGTCGTGTGCAAGAACGGCGTATCACATAAAGAGGGAGTCTTTAGTGTTTTATTAAGTCCTATTAATGTACACTTAAATCTGA